CATGCCTGTGGGTCCCCTACCTGCTTGCCGGTCCCTTCACTGCTCGTACACCCTCATGCCAAGTCCCAGGGGCCTAGGAGGAGGTGAAAATCCTGGCTCCACTCAGCCAGGTCAGTGGGGCAGGTGTCCTAGTGAAGGAGCCCTTAAACAAAACCACCTGGGATTGTACCGGTGAGCCTGTCCTCAAAGGGCCAAGTGGGCAGGATGGCAAGTGATAGATACTACAGGGCCTGTGGACACCTGACCCCTGAGGCACAGGAGGGGCCCTAGGGAGGAGATGGGCCCTGGACTGTGTGTACCGCGGGGGTCCCTGATCAGACATGGGAGAGGCCGGGCGAGAAGTGAATCCAGACTCCCCTACAGACTGAGGGTCTCGTGGGGGCCTTTTGGAGTCCCACCTGGGACCAGAAACACCGTATGCCCATGAGCTCCTACCTGCCTGTGGGACCCAGGAAGCTGGACACCACTGGGTGAACCCCTACAGACCCACATCCTCACCAACGCTTGCTGCTTTCCGTTTTTGACTATGCCCATTCTGTTGGACACCCTGGTGTGGCTCTGAAGGATCAGCACTGGACTGAGAACATACAAGGTCACAAGGTTGGTGGTTCAAAACCACCAGCTGCTTTTCGAAAACCCTATACAGGGTCACTATGAGTCAGAACCGTCTTGATGGCACTGAACAACAACAAGTGGACATAGTGTCTGACCTTGGATGGGATAAACTATTTGCACTGGACTACTAGTGTAGTGGTTATGAATCGGGCTGCAAACCTTAAGGTCAGCAGTTCGAAACTACCAGCTGTTCCGCAGGAGAAAGATGAGGCTTTCAGCTTCTGTAAAGATTTACAGCCTCGGAAACCCGGTACAGGGTTGCTATGAGTTGGAACCGACTCCACAGCACATAACCACCAACCACTAACTGAAAGGGTGGCTTTTCAAACCCACCCAGCATCACTGCAGAAGAAAGGCCCGGCAAGCAGCTCTGCTCTGTAACACATGGGGGTGCCGGGAGTCAGTGGCTTTAGTGTGTTTGTTTCAGGTGGCATATGGTGACAGAGTATCCCTTCCTGTGTTTGTTGACCATATGTGTGTTGTCTGGAGAAAAGTCTGTTCAAGTCCTCTGTCCGATTAAAAACAGGGTAATTTAGTCTGTTTCGTTATTGAGTTGGTAGTTGCACTTTACAGTACCTATTTCTTGGTAGCATACTGGTTACAAATCAGGCTGCGAACCACAAGGTCCGCAGTTAGAAACTACCAGCTGTTCCGCGGGAGAAAGATGAGGCTTTCTGCTCCCATAAAGATTTACAGCCTCAGAAACCCTGTACAGGGTCACTGTGAGTCGGAACCGACTCCATGGCACATAACAAAAAAAACCCCACAATTTCTTGGTTGCACATCATAGTGAAGGTCACTAATGTCACTAAGTTGTACACTGAAAATACATAAAACGGGAAACTGTTACATATATGTATACACATACACGTACAGTATCTCCACAATGACATTTAAAAAATAAAACATAACAAGTACATATCTCTCAAGTTGCACCCATTTGTGACTTAATTGTACCATTCTATAATCATTGCTGACGGGTACCAAGGACCAGGGACCAGGGAGAGGGGTGCCAATCCCACAACTCTATCTCCAGGCTCTGCCCTTCTCCCCCAAACTATGGGGGTATTTAAATGTCTGAAGATGGCAGCTTCCAGACTGGGCTCTCTGCCTGGGTCACTCCAGTATCCTGTCGGGTGGAGGGCAGGGGCTTTGGAGCTTTGGAGACCATAAAGACCAGGTTCCCTGCCCTGAATCAGAAACCATTGTCTGTGGGAAATAAAGAGTATTTTAAATGTTCCAAAGCCCAGAGCGCCCCCATGGAGAAACCCCAGCCATTGATGGGAGACCCCTGGGAATTCCACCCATAGAAGGCAGGATTCCAGGCCAATCTCTCTCCCAGAAAATGATGCTGAAGCTCTTTGGTCCCCAGGACAGTCTCCCTCATCTGCCTGCCTATCTTCCTCCCTCCCTGACCTTCTGGTTTGTGTGAATTATTGATGATTTCGGCTAGGGTTAGCATCCTGTGTCCCTTAGGGCCATGGGGGTGTGGCTTCAGGCTACCCCTTCACCCCTCTAACCCCCCAGTGCAAAGCCCCTTTTGGTGTCACCACTGTGCTGGAATCCGCTTTATTTGGGGTTTCTGTTTCCCTTGGTGAGAAACAATGTGACCGTCTAGGACCAGGGAACTGCACTGGGCGGGGGCTCATTTGAAAATGGGAACTGTCTCAGCTGCACCAGGAAGCAGGGTCTGGCACATTCTAGACATACATTTCAGTGGTCCGGGGATGGTGGGCTCCTTGGGCCTGCCTCTTGATTTACCCCATCTGTAGCTGCTCAGACCTTGACTGGTGGGCTCTCAGCCCTGGGTACCAAGTAGTGGGCTACCACCAACCCCAGCATCACCCCCAGGATCCATCTGGCACAGAGCAGCCCCTGAGAAGCTTAGCATCATGGGGGATGGGCATAGGTGTATGGCTGGCAGATCCAGTGTCCACTGGGCACAGTGGGGGGGAACTAGGAAGCCAGGCTGCCATTGTTCCTGCTCCCCTCCCATCTTGCCAAATGGCTGTGACCATGTCACCCCAGAAGCCCAGCGGTTACTCAACCTCAGAGCATGGGCACTGGGGAAGTACGGCGTGGAGAGCCCCCTCTTCCACCCTCCATGTGAGGGAGCTGTGATGCTGGGGCCACCTCAGTTGCTGCATGGTCATGGCCTTGGAGACTCCTTGTGTCCTCCCCTGGGCTGTCATCTGCCTACTTGGGGTCCTAAGTGGACACTCACCTAATCAGGTGTCTTCTCAGCTGCATGTGTTCAACAGACACAGGGAGCATGTTCAATCAGCCCTACGATGCCCATCTGTGCACACTGTCCACAGGTGACACTCGGTGCACCCACTAGGGGCTCCATGGCTCATTGAGCACTGGAGGAGGTGCGGCCTCATGTGCTCACAGTGCTGCTCCTTGCACTTCCCCAGGCAGGTGCTGACTTGGAGGCAGGCTGAGTAGGGGTCTGCACAGGATATAGGACCACTTAGCTGGACAGGGCAGGGCTGGGAAGAGTGGGTAACGTGGAGGGGGATGGTATAGCAGGACCTGAGCCTCCATGTGGACGAACTCACCCAGACTACCTCAAGTCTGCAAGGTGTGGGACCCCTGTGTGAGTCATGGCAAAACACACCAGGGGGCTTTTCGGTGGATGACTCTGCGTTGTTAAAATGGCCAAGCTGAGGCCAGGCTCAGTGATCACATACTCACCACCGTGGTGGGACGGCACACCACATGAGCAGCGTGGCAGCTCTGTTCTCGCTCTGGCCAGCACCTGGCCTCTCTGTCATCGCTAATCCTAGTCTAGAACAAACCACACTTCCCATCCTGGGTGTGTCCTTTCAGCCCTCTTCCCTTTCCCCTTGGCCCTCAGTTCCCCCTCCTCTGATCTGGCCTAAATGGGCAGGGCTAGACAGCTCTGACCCCTGCCAACTCCCGGTGTCCTGGCCCCTGACCAGCTCTTTAGCAGGGGCTGCTACAGGTCAGCAAGAAAGGTTCGATAGGAAGTTTGGTGGTCAGTGAGTTTATGTGAACAGAAGTAAAATAAATTATTTAAAAAAGAAAGATAAGAAGAAAGGAAACTATTGAACGAGTTCTCTTGTGTTCTCCTGTGGCTGTGCTGAAACAGAACGCTCTGGCCTCTGTAGGCTGGAGGATAGGACGCCTCTAGATAAGCCCCACCAGGAGCTCCCTAGCACTGTGTGGCCCTGCAAAGGGTTGGGAGGCCCCAGGAGGGCTTTACAGAGGAGGTGGGAGGAGCATTACCATTGTCTCCAATGAAGATCCCAATAAATGGCTGTCTGACTGCCCCCCTTTGAACCTTAGTCTTGGATGGCACCACCCTGTCCTGCTAGGATGAGAGTGGGGGGCTGGGAGAGATCAACAACGTGCTGTATGGAGACTCCAGTACTGAGGGGGCTGCATGTGGGGACAAGACCTGCCACCTTCAGGGAGCTCACGGCTCAGAGGAGGCTCTGTGCCTTCTGGGTGGGGCAGGCCTGAGGGTCTCCACCCTTTGCCCAGCTCTGGAGACGCTTGGGTCACCGGAACTGGGGGCATTCCCAAGCTGGCTTAAAGGTCAGGGAGGTGGGTGGGGAGACCAGAGTACAACCAGAGGCTTGGAGCAGGGTGGGCCATGAGTAGGAGCCCACCCAGAAGTCCAGTCTGTCCCCAACTTGGCCTGAGTCTGGCCCATCCGCTATGAATCCATCCCCCGAATCCCAGCCCTGTGGAGAAAGGCAGCGACCTTCCTGGGTTGCTGCATTGTTTGCAGAAGAAAATGAAAGAACGAACAGAAAGAGAAGAGTCACTTCTGGAGGGAGGTGACATCAAACGGTTAACACTTTGTCACCCCCTGTGGCCTGGGCCCCCCTGCCTGCTGCATCCCCACCCACCACACAGCACCCAGTTCCGTCCGAATGTGGATGGAGATGGGGTACAGGTTTGTCGCCACCATCTGCCTTCTCTCAGTGCCAGGAGCCGGACCACACACTCCAGGGCACAGTTCGTTCTCCGTAGAGAGGCGAGTGCCGCTCCCGTGCCGGATGCTGGACTCTCAGAGCCGGCTGCTGGACCCCTAGCCCTTTGGTTGGCAGGTGGGATGCTGCGCGCTTGGGGCGGGGCCGGGTCGCGCGGAGGAGGCGCC